GGCCGCCACCCGGGCAAAATTCAAAATTTCCTACCAACTGAAAATATTAGGTGTGTCCCGCGCGCTCATATGACCTATGCAGTTGCGAGCGCCGTAAAACACTTTACAAAAACAAAACAAAAAGAATTCATTCTCTCCCCTTCCTTTCTTTGTATGCTAGTCTCTAGTATCACCTGTAATCTTCGGCTCTAATATTATGTATGGCCTGTTTGCCTTGTAAGTGCTGCAAAACTATTACTAAAGTTTTTAAACACCTAACAAACAAACACAAATACAGGACTGTAGGCACGTAAACAATCACACTAGGATCTACTTCTGCAACACGTGTAGCTTTTCATCTTCATAACATGATGATTAAAACTCATGTAATGCATTTGAAATGATTAAAATCACATCTTGAGTGGTTCTTAAGTACTTGTTAGGCTACCTTATTTCCCAACGCTTGCATTTTTTTCTTCAGATAAGACCAACTCGCAGATAGACCTTCCAGTTTAACTCTTAGTGTACTGAAGACTATTATATTGATATGCAGCCAGTTTTGTTAACCAATTTTTGAGCGTCACAAACTTGTCTATAACTCAGTTAATATAAATTAACCTATTTGATGTGTACTAAATGAACACCAAACTGAGTAGAAATGAACGCCCCTTGCAAAACACGTATAGGCATACCGTAGTTTGATATACAGGTACTGTAAGATAAGATAGATTGGCTGGGGTTATGATTTTTAAAATGATTGTTAACAATCTAGCGATGCCATGAGTCAGCTGAATTAGCGCAGACCGTATATTATATAGACCTGCTATGGGTTAAAGAACATAAAAAATATGAGCAGTACACAACAACTCACTCTATCCCATTGTTCTACTTCATTTTATCCTACCCCACCCTAATTTTGCGTATGCAGTGTTCACCAACAAGCCTCGCTGTAATATGAACAATAGTTTCCAAACCTTGAACCCCCCCCCCTCCCCTCCCCAACCTCGTACTTAACTAATAATTTTTAGTTTTTCTTGTGGCTGGTTGATTATTGAAAAACAAAACAGGATACTCTCTGTGGTCATTAGTTCTTCAATTAAGTAGTTCAAAGCAGAACCACTTAATGACCTAAAAGCCCACTTGTGCGTCGCCTGACTCAGTAGGACCAACTCAAAGGCCTCGTGACATCCTTTTTGGCTAAGCTGTTGCCAGCCTCTACAACAATGTGATAAAAATAGTATGCCATAAGCTTACCCCCCACTGACAACTCTGTTGGCCCATTCCACTTCTTCTTAAACCATGTGATTTGGACAAATTATGTCCAGGCGTTTGAGTATCATCTAATGTAAGAGCGAACTTTCGAACGGGTAAGTCATGTTTTGATCTCACTTTTGTTTTGTTTTTGTAAATGTTTTACGGCGCTCGCAACTGCATAAGGTCATATGAGCGTGCTGGTCTCGCTTTGTGTAAATACATGTGCGTTAAACATAATTTTTAAACCGGTTGCGTTGGAATTGATTGTAATGCACATGGACAGGTTCGAGGATAATTCAGTGTAAAAGTAAACTTTTGAACCGGCAAGCTACATTGTACATTCTAAGCTCAAGTTTTGTAAATATAGATATTAATTATGCCCGTTGAACAGAATTCTAAAGTCGGTTATGCTACAGATGGATTATGACAGGTTCACACGCTGAGATATTCATGGATCATCCATTGTAAATTTATATGAACTTTTGAACAGGTAAGTGAAGTCTCATTGTGAGATCACTTTTTGTTAAGTTGATATGGGCATTAAAAATAATGTCAAAGTCGGAAACCTTTAGTGGCTGAAGAAAGCATACATGCCGAGGCAAAGTGGATCATCTAGTGTAAAAATGAACCTCAGGATAGTCACATTATTCTAAGCTCACTTTTTGTAAATGTTGATGTGCCTGTTTAAAACAATGTCAAGCTCGGAAGCGTTGAAGTGGATAATTATAGCACATTATTATAATTACGATATACACCGAGGCAATGAGAATCATGCAATGAAAACATGAATTCCTGAACTGGTAAGCCACATTCTGAGCTCAGTTTGTCTAAACAGAGAATAATTTATGTGCGATAAAAATGAATTTTAAATCGAAAGCCTTGAAGTGGATAATGTCAGCGTATGATATACTCTGAGGCAAACGCGGATCATCCAGTCGAAACACTAAACTAGTTTCAATCCTCGGTCCATTTTTTTTCTCACGATTTACAACATGTAAGACTCAACCACTTGTCAAGGAAATAGTTAAATATGGTTTAAAGTAGCAACCTGTCTATCCGGACGATACCAACAAAGAAGTCTACCAGTTTAGATAAACCTGTTCATCGTCCTGAAAATTGTATAGTCATGTTGTCATGTCTGCAACTTTATAGTCGGGGGTGTTGGAGTTGGTTGTGGACACTGGACGCCAGGTTCACGAATGAGGAAATAGAAGGAGCGAATACAAAAAGATAAGAGTTATTACAAGGGGTGAAAAGAAAAATAACGCATCTTGAAAGAGAAATTTGCCAGGGTAGATAAAACATTGGATCAATTTTAAGGGTGTATATGTATGTAAGTATGTGTTTGTGCATATTTTCTAATATGTATATATGCATATACTATAAATGCTACACATACTAGGCCCATAAATTAGAAGCATTAAAGACTGTACTAAAATGGTGTTTTATTTGATAAACTAAACGCATTGATTAGCGCCAGTGGTGACACCTACTGGCACAAAACTGTGTGCAGATTTTCCCAGGACACTTTCTTTAAGACAATGAAAGTGTCTTGTCATGTTTTGTCTTTGTTTGGACTTCTTGGAACAGTCACACTCACATCATCTCTTACACTTTAGCCTGCCTCCCTCTAAGAGCCGAGATAAAAACAACCTCTTCGCTGTCACGAGTAATCCATCCAGCCAACTCCTTCACTACGATGAGCAGTGATTCACAGCTCGTGTTGTTCCCAAAGCCCAAAACTGGACCGCGAGCAGTGTTTCACGGCTCTCCACGTCCCTGCTTCAAACCATACCTACTTTTGTTACAATCGAAACCGAAATCTCAGGCTGAAGAATGATCGTTTTTAGCGACATGTAGAGATAGCTCATTATTTTCCTTTTATTTTCATACATTATACAATGTGACTTTTATAGAAAGTGGGCGGTTGGCGGGTGCTCTGGTGTGCTTTGCTCCTTTTTTCCTATCAAACATCAATCGTTCTGATCTCTCCTCCTTTTTTATGTTTGTTGCTCTCTTGTAACACCTCTAATCTCTGGCACTTACATGGCCTTATTGTGCTGCAAATGCCGTAAAACTCTTACGAAAGCTAATATTGAAAATTAAACTCAAAATCTTTAATCTGTCCGACGGTAGGTAGAATCAGTAAGTAGGTCACAGATAGGGCCCGGAACTGGTGAGGAACCCCCCCCCCCCCTTTTCCCTGGTAGTGAGTCCAAATTTTAAGATTTTTCGATTTTTACACTCTCCAAAAGTTTGGTCAGAGATGCGCTTTTCAATATCACCTGAATGTAGTTTTATGCTATGGCCAAGGTTTACTATTGTCTTGTTTTTCCCGATTCCTGATGATAGGAACAACACACCATACGCTAGGTTGGGTTTTTTTGTGTCTCCAGTGTAAAAAGTAATGTACCCAAACGGACTTAGGTGGATTGCTTGGGACACCGGCGACTTGCACTCGACCTATTCAGTTTTTGACCTATTACAGTGGGATCTATATTTGGCTGACAGGCCAGATAGTATGAACGCCTGCGCATTTAATGTTGGGGGAAAAAAGTCGCCCACCTATCACGAGATGGCTGAGTATTAGGATGGCAAAACTGTTGAACTGATGAGATGTGGTTATCAGCAATTGTTTTGTCTTTACGAGAGCTTTTATGGAGGTGCTAAGTGCATGGATACATTGTAGTTATTGGGAACGTTCATTTAGTAAAGTCAACAAACGTAGGTGAGTTTTTTTTCTCTTCACCAATCTTTGAGGTGTGCGCGTTTTATTCCAATTTGCTGGATTCAAGCAGTAAGGTTCAGAAGGTTCGAATAGCGGTTAGATGATGAAATGGAGGAGGTGGCTTACAACTGATCAAAATTTATCTTTTAAAAAACGTAATAACCTCCTGCCCCAGAAGAAAAAAATGAGGTCTCGTGTGTGAAGTTAAGGCCTGTATCAACAACCTGGCATGCAGCCGATCATGTAATCAGCAGAGCAAAATAAATAGAACGGGAATAAGCCTATTGTCTCTTAAGATTACTTATGGGTCATCGAGTTCACACGCTTTGGCTCGACCCATTGCTTCGACTGTAAACAATTCCCAGGCTCCTATTTTATGAGACACAGTTTGTTTGGACCCAAACTAAGTGTACCAAATATGCCGGAAGGTAGCAGCTATCTGTGAATTGTGATCTTCACCAAAGATCTAAATTCCCACGTTTTTCTCGTTCCGTGAGAAGAGCATTTGAAAATAATATATTGGTAGAGTTAATTAGCAACGGTATTCCTACCCCCAGAAGTTGTAACATAATATGTTCAGTATTACTGAAAATAACAAATAAAACGAGGGAAAAGATACATTCCTCTCGTACCTTGGCTCACATTTTCAATAAGGGTATTTTGCAACGATATA